GACTCCATGATGTAAGTCAAAGACATTTTAAAGGGTGAATTTAAACGATGACTGATGAGAAATTTTACAAACAGTTTTTGTATATCCAAATTAAAATTTTTCCAATTTTACAAACAGTTTTTGTATATCCTAATTAAAAATTCTTCCAATTTTACAAAAATTGTAAAAGAAATAATCGAAGATCAATGTAACACGCAACATGCAACATGCAACACACAACATGCATACTAGTCAATTTCGCCCGGGCCCACTAGCCCCATCCCCTTAATCCTCCTCAAAATAAAACTTTAAGCAGACCATACACAAAACAGAAAATATAAACCAATTATTGCCATTAAGTATGAAATTATTACTTACAATATTTTTTTTCAAAATTCTCTCCCTGTAAGGCTGTATGTCATTATGAACATATAATACTGTGTATTCTAATCCTTCTTATGATTTCACTTTTATTTACACTAATAGACCTACTACCATCATACTTAATTATGTCCATTGAATCAATGTGGTGAGTATATATATATATGTATAATATTTACTTGTGTTTTTATGTTTTTTAAGCATAATACACACAACATGTACAAGTAAATGTGACCTGTTTCTATCCAAAGATCTAGGAAGACATAAAATGAATTTCTCTTTTATCTCATTGGTTACTATATGGATTCATATTGATGTCATGACCTCATTACTTGGACATCATAAAATGTGTAGAGGAATATAAAATGTTGAAATTCATCAAGAATACACTACTCTTATTACTATCTTTATTACTATTGTTTTTGTGGTGATTTTGTGAAGAACCATGCAGTGGAGGAAAACAGTTCAAAGAAGAAAATGGCAAGTTAATTCACTTTGAAGTTTAGATACAGTAATATAAATTATATAAAAAGATAATTACAATGATTCTCTATCAAATATTTCTTTAAAAGTTCAACAACAGTGTGTTTGAAATTTACACATCATTCCCTAATTAATGCATAATGACTCTATACAAATGTAATTCTGTCTTGAAATAACTGGTTCAGGATAGTTTGAAGGGAATATTTTGTCACATATATATATATATACATGTGTATACCTTCACTAGATGATTTAAATTATCTTGTGTATGTTTTTTTAATAGTTCTTTACTAAATTTTTTTTTGTATCTTATATTGCTGATCAATGAAGTCTGTTTAGTTTCTCTCTATCTTCATGATCTTATTTAGCTCTTGCTCCAAACACAAAAGAGTATTTTTTCTGATCATTTTTGCATTTTAAAGTTTCTCTCTGTCTATTATAGTTTTCAAGATAATAGGCAAAATTGAAAAAAAAAAGTGGGAAAATTTGATTCTATTTCATGTATTTGGCCCAGTAGTTTCAGATTACAAAAATTTACGAAAAATCCTTAAAATAGACTATAACTCCTTAAGGGGTCAATTGACCATTTTGGTCATCTTGACCTAATTGTAGATCTTACTTTGCTGAACCTTATTGCTGTTTATAATGTATCTCTTTCCATAATAATATTCAAGATAATAACCAAAAACTGCAAAATTTTCTTAAATTATTAATTCAGGAGCAGCAACCCAACAATTGGTTGTCTGATTTGTCTGTGAAAACTATTTTCCCCAATGATGTTTGTGGCCAAGTTTGGTTAACTTTGGCCCAGTAGTTTCAGAGGAGAAGATTTTTGTAAAAGTTAACTGACAACAACGGACGATGACGACGGACCTCAAGTGACATGAAGGGCTCAGTTGGCCCTTTGGTCCAGGTGAGCTAATAAAAAAACTAACAAAAGTTTGTAACATTAGAGTTCTCACGTCAAAATGTGCTTCAATGGTGACTTTCGATTTAATTGATTTTTACACAACTTTTGGTATGCATCCCTAAACTACAAAGTGACAAGGATGGTGAATATACAGCTTTGATTATATCCAAGGTTAGACTAACTTGGCTAGAATAGTGGCATCATTTCAGTTAGTTTACATTTTAAAGTCCAGCAGTTCTTGTTATGTTATTATCATGATTATGTACCAAATGTATTTTAACTTTGAATAAATGCCTTTTTATTTACTTGCATTTAAAGCCTGGACATATTTTTTCAGGATTTAAGAATACATTTTTTATAATGACTGTTAACATCATTTCTAGATGATAGACTTAGTCTACCTGGGCATTACCTTATTGACAAGGATTTAAGCTTAATGCCTAATTTCACTTATTGCCACTTACATATGAATAATATAAATACTTACATATATATCATAAAGGTTTCTACTTCATACTAATAATTGGCATTGGCCTTTTAAACTTTTTTTATTTCAGCACTTTTAGGCATTAACAAAAACATATTTAAAATGTTGAAAATAAAAAATGAAAATGAAAGAGGATGCTGATTTTGTATAAACTGTTGACTACATGTATAAAGCATTGTAAAGACTATAGACTTGTTTTGTTTACTAGTTAAGTATTTCAAAAGTTTGTCCTCCACTCAGTGTACCCTTGAGCCACTATACTGTGCTAAATCTCTAAAAATATCTTGTACCCAATTAACCTACTAGAATTTAATCATGTTAATAGAACCATTAGATAAAATTTCATTTTCTGAAGAGGGTGTATAGAAATACATGTATGAATACTGATAATAATATATATGATCTTAGTATTGTGCCATATTATCAAAATAGTTTCTCTATTACTTTCAATTTCCAGTAGACATGGTAGATGTCTTAATGTTACATTGTTTGTATGTTAGTGGATTTAGGGATATCAATTTTAAATAAATTAAAGGGTACAATGGACTAAGCAAGTTGATTGTTTGACCACATAAATAACAAAGGCAGAAAATAGTAGATTTAACTTTTTGACCATAGTAAATAATTGATAAAGAAATCTAAAGAATAAAAGAAAAAGAGGAATCTAAGACACTTACTCATGTTATTTTAGTAAATCAGCTGATTATGTTCTTACCAGCTGCACAAATGGTCAATCAATTAAAAGCAATAAATTTCTTCAGTTTAAGTGACCACAAATAATTGCTCCCAATCAAGCATTAAATTTCTCTGACCCTAAAATGTTGTGGAACAGTATCATTATAAATCACAGCTTTATTCTGTTAAGCTCCTGTATATTTAGCATGTCAGTTAATACATGAGATTTAATTATGCTCACTGAAATTAAAGTTATTGGAATAATCATAATGTTGGGAGAAAATATTTTAGTATATTTAGGAACTTTTCTACAAAAACCGTCACAGATACTGGACAAAAACTATAAAAAAAAATCCCTTGAAAAAACAATGAGAAAATATAATAAAAACGCGTTGAAAACAAGTGCAAAGAATGAATAAAGTAGCTTTGTTACTCTAATAATACCAGTTGTTTCCAGATTATTAGGGTTGATGATATGATGATATATTTTACTTTATTCATCTAATTGTAATTATAATAATTTGTATGTATATATTCAATAAAAATTTTGATAAATGTTTGTCTAAAATTAACCCCTATGGTACAAATACATATAGGGGCAAGTTAGTCCTAGACTGTATGAGTATACTCAAATGGTCTGACCGTACACATATGGTCCGACTGCACGAGTATATGTGTACGGTCCAAATACTCATATGGTCTGGAACATATATACAATATGAAGATTTGGATAAAGAGGTTTTATTATATTATATTCTTTGATGTATAGCCTGTACATGTAAGAATATTTAATCGCATTAACAAAATCCCTCTGCCCTGATTACATGTTTCCCCTAGGTCTGTTAACCCAGAGTTCATTCACCCACAGAGTCTGTTCGCCCTGGGTCCGTTCTCCCTAGTACTTTTATTAAAACATATTGTTTAATGGGTATTAAATTTTAATAAACTTATTCATATGGTATAAATTCTGGAAATTTATGAAAACACATGGAAATATTTAAAAGTTGTTGGCTTAAAATTTGTTTTAGAGCATTAATTGTTAAAAATGATAATTCTCACTGATTGTTGTAATGGATTTATAATAAAAACAACATTTTTTTTGATAAACTAGCTATATAGTCAGCTTGGAATGAGTAACAAAAAATGATGTACCAATTTTAAAACTTGAAAAAGATATAAATTCATATTGTTATCAAATTGACTGATTAGAATTAATAAAATTGTTAACAAATATCAATAAGATAAGTCTTGTAAGTACAATGTATTCCAGTATTCTACTATGCAAATAAAAAATAATTTATATTTGTTTGCAGCAAATACATTTTACAAATATTGGGCGAATTTTTCAATAAACTTAAACATACTCTGTTCGAACAATAAATATTAATGATTATGCAACTAGACAATAATATAAAATAATCAGGATGAAATTCGAAAAAAAAACAGGACAGGAGTTTTGAGTAATCAAAAGGTGGGATGAGACACTTTGCCGAAAAAAAGGCAGGATGACTATTTACATGTATGTAAAAAAAAGTCAGGATAAACTAATGAACTAGTACACATTATTGTTTTTGGGCTAGCTGAAGCAAGCCTCCTGGTGCGGGATTTTCTCGCTATGTTGAAGACCCATTGGTGGCCTTCTGCTGGTTTCTGCTCTTTGGTAGGGTTGCTGTCTTTTTGACACATTCTCCATTTCCATTCTCAATTTCAAAACAAAAAAGGCAGGACCGAATAGAGTGAAAAATACATAACAACTAATAGAATGAAGGACAAAATTTTTCATCCTAGCCCCCCATGAAAACCAAATGGTAGGTCCCTTAGTTATCTATACCTTTCACCTCCCCCCTCCCCCCCCCCCCCCCCCCCCCCCCCCCCCCCCCCCCCCCCAAAAAGAAAAAAAGAAAAAAAAAGAAAAGAAACAAAGATTCAAAACAAAAAATCCAGACCCCCTTTAAACGTAAATTGCTCTCACACTTGTTTTAACTAAATGTTTACCATATATATAAATTGAAATCATTTCAACAACAGGCTACTGTCGTACTGACAAGTTTTCATTCACATCTCTGCATCTTCAAGTTCAAGGTCACAACAAGTTTGTCTTACGTGAACTGGTTCCCTGATTGCATTTGGATAACAGACGTTCTTCTATCGCACTGCAACTCAGGACTCTTGTAGAAGTTGAACTTTACCAGTTTGAAGGTGAGGATGTTTGTTCCATCCACAGAACTGTTACCCGTCACCTATTCTGTATTAAAATTCCACCTTTTTTAGACGAACCACTTCGGTTTGGAAATCCTCTGGTTACCTGACAAGTATGGGGGAAATCTGGATTCCGAATATTTTTTGGTATCTGCTTGACCACAATAATGTCAACTGGTCAATGCTTATTAGATAGAGCAATAATTTCTCTTACACAGTTTAATAATACCAAAAAAAATTCAGAAATAAAGTTATTCATTAAATCAAGACTACCAAATATAGACCTATTCAAGTACACCTTTGCCTTTGGCTTTGGGTGTGTTTGACTTTGGATTGTATTTGATTTAAGGTTGTGTAGGACTCTTTGTAAACAATAAATGCTGGCATGGACATAATACTTGTAAGTGAGTTAAATTTTACAATGAAAATCTGTAATAGATCAAACTATAACAGATAAAAGTCTTTGTTTTTGTTTTGTTTTTACAAAAATCTAGGCTTTACTTGCATACAATCCCTATTTTCTATTCACCTAAATCTGACACAGGTATTTGGGGATTTGGGGCCCACTGTAAAAAAGTCTTTATTATTCTCCATAATTACAATTTTCTAAAATGTATTGACATATAACAAGTCTCAAGAATCCATTACTAGTCATTTAAGTAACAATACCTTTTTGTCGAGCCTTCGACTTTTGTCGAAAAAGCGAGACATAGCGATCCTACATTGCGTCGTCGTCGGCGGCGGCGTCCACAAATATTCACTCTGTGGTTAAAGTTTTTGAAATTTTAATAACTTTCTTAAACTATCCTGGATTTCTACCAGACTTGGACAGAAGCTTGGTTATGATCATAAGATAATATTCAAAAGTAAATTTTGTAAAAATAAAATTCCATTTTTTCCGTATTTTACTTATAAATGGACTTAGTTTTTCTGCCATGAAACATTGCATTCACTCTGTGGTTAAAGTTTTTGAAATTTTAATAACGTTCTTAAACTATCCTGGATTTCTATCAAACTTGGAAAGAAGCTTGTTTATGATCAAAAGATAGTATCCAGAAGTAAATTTTGTAAAAAAAAAATTCCATTTTTTCCGTATTTTACTTATAAATGGACTTAGTTTTTCTGCCATGAAACATTACATTCACTCTGTGGTTAAAGTTTTTGAAATTTTAATAACTTTCTTAAACTATCCTGGATTTCTACCAAACTTGAAAAGAAGCTTGTTTATGATCAAAAGATAGTATCCAGAAGTAAATTTTGTAAAAAAGTAAAAAAAAAATTCCATTTTTTCCGTATTTTACTTATAAATGGACTTAGTTTTTCTTCCAGTTAACATTACATACAGTCTGCACTTTAAGTTTTTAAAACATTTATTAGATTCATAAACTATCCTGGATTTTTACCAAACTTGGACAGAAGCTACTTACAATCAAAAGATAGTATAGAGAGGAATATTTTTATTAATTTTTTTCCTCATTTTTGTTGAGCCTGCGATTAACAGCAAAAGTAGGCGAGACACTGGGTTCCGCGGAACCCTTACGAATTTTTTTACTATCAACCACCTTGACACTTTTTCACAGAAAATGTAAATATTTTAATTTGTCCGATGCTGTGAAAAAGTGTCCTTCAATTCATTATTTCATGATAAAGTACTATTAAATTCTGTCCTGCAAGGTTGATTTTCAATAAGAGGACCTTTTCACAGTAAAAGGTGTCCTTTACAGGGAGATCATAAAAAAGTCACTCACGTATTTTGGCTATATTAAATGTTCTATTACTAAAACAAACCAATCAAGAGCCTGTTATAATTTGATAAAAACACCAAATGGAAGGTGTTAAATTCCAAAGCATATTCAATTATCTTAGCTATAAAGATGTCAACAAAAAGTATCCACCAGCATCAACTGTCACAACCCCTATATAAAGTACAAGAATACCAAATGAAGAAAGAACAGTATTTATGAGAAAATTCTTGAAAATTACATGATTTTTAGCTCGCCTTGACAGAGTAAAAAAGCGAGACATTATAGGTTTGCCGACGGCAGCAGCGGCGTCAACAATGTATTAGTTTGAGATTAGGTCTAGTTTATGGTGAAACACAAGTGGTAGGTCAATGATATTTGGTATGCAGTTGTATAAGCATTGGCATATCTCATTTCCATAGAGATTATTTGGCCCTGCCCCCTGAGTCATGGTCTATTGACCTTGAAAATTTTGCTTAGTTTTATACATGTATTAGTTTGTGATTAGGTCTGAGTCAGTTTATGGGGAACCACTAGTGGTACATTTGTAGGTCAATGATATTTGGTATGCAGTTGTATTAGCATAATGGCATATCTCATTTCCATGGAGATTATTTGGCCCCTTCCCCTCAGTCATGGTCTATTGACTTTGAAACATTTGCTTAGTTTATATGTATTAGTTTGTGATACTGATTAGATCAGTTTAAGATGAACTGCTAATGTTAAGTCAATGATATTTGGTATGCAAATTTATTGGCATAAATTTGCAAGTCTTGTTTCCATGGAGATTATAAAGCCCCACACCCTCATCATGGTTCATTGACTTTAAAACTTTTACATAGTTTACCAAGTTAATGTTTGTGTTTAGGTTTTTTTTAAGGGAATGACTTAGGTAAGTCAATTATATTTGGTATGCATAAAAAGAAGCTTTTGTATAATTTAACATTAGCACATCTCATTTCCATGGAGATTGTTCAGCCATGTACCTTCAGTCATGGTTCATTGACTTTGAATATTTTACATAACTTACATGTTAAAGTATTGCTATTTTAATTTCAACAATATTGCTTTATCAAAATTACAAAAAGGCAAGACATATCTCTGTGATAACAGTTTATGTAAATTGAAATAAAATACATGTATTTTTATCAACATTGTTCATATTTTTAAGTACTATTTAATATATTTCTGTTTTTGTGTGTATTAGTACATGTTTTATTGTATTATTCATGTTTAACTACACATGGTGATGGTCACATTTAGTATGAATTCACTACTCCAGTTTACATGCCATGTTTTAATAGAGACAAAACCTATATTCTAATTTTTAAACTTTAATTTAGATAAAGAATTGAAGCTATGTAAACATAGTAGGTATTGATAGTGGGCACTTTTTCTCTTGACATACTGTCCTTTCTATGAAGGACACTTTTTTCATATGAAATATTGTCCCTTCATTGAAGGACAATTTTTCACATCTGGACACAATTGTATACTATAGGCAAACATTGTTTGGACAATATTTCATAATAACATTAAGTCCGTGGACACAATTTACTGTGAAATAGTGTCTGGTGGACATAATTTCATGGCAGACAATATTAAATCCTATATATATGTTCTTTGAAAATTTCTTAATACATTGTTGGTCATCTAAAATGTGAGTCATTAATATTTACATGTACTTGGGATCTTTTAAATGTTCAAAACTGTTCTATTTGCTTAAAAGTAATCTGAAGCAATTTCTAGACACGCTTCGATCATTAGGGTAAAAGCCTTGTGACATTAGGGTGTATCTCCTACTGGAGCCCCAGTTTATGAATGCATGTACATATCTTACCTTGGAGAGGAGGTTGATCTTACATTAGAGTCAGTCAGGGTAATTCCGTACACTTTTGGTCCTAAATGAAAGTCATTTGGTTCCCTGTTTAATAAACAAGCAAAATGTACAGTAATTACCTGGTCTGGGCACACAGTTATCGTCCTTTGATTTTCATTGTCCACGAATATAGTTCCTAACTAGTGTGGACAGGGTGTTACTTGCCAATTTTTTTTTATCCCCCTTCCAAATTTATTTCTTCATGTTTTATGTCTCAAATAGCAAGATGGGGGATAAAATTACACTGTTAAAAAATTTGAATTATGAATTTTAAAGTAAAATAGTGATTTGTTCCAGCTGAAAAAGGTTAAAAATTAGCATTAATTTTGGAAGCTGTCAAGATTTCAAGACCCCCTTAACATAAAATTGTCCATATTTTGAGTTAGAGCTGATGCAGTTTTTCTATAATTTTTATATAATTTGTCCCAAAAGTTAAGTAGTACAACACACTGTAAAAATATTATTGAGAAAGCTCAGTTTGGATTTTTTGTATTTCCACTTATTGTCTAAAAGAAATGCACTACAAAAAAACTGTGTACTCGGACCAACTGCCTGCACGAAATTACCTGGATCGACTATAATCTTTATAGATTAATCAGTTAAGCTAATTCTTTTTTTTTCATTAATAAAAAAATTCTACAGATGATTAAGTATACAAGGTATATCTATTTCGAACAAACTAAGAATGTTTAAAATTAAAAAAATTCACAGAATCTAAATAACAAAAATTTTTAACTTTGCATTATTTGTTAAAGGGACAGTATAGACTCAGTTCATCATTATGATAGGAGCACATGTCCTGTGCATGCTGTGTATATAGTATAATAGATTTATTATGTCTTGTCTGTATCTTAATTTTGGTTAAACTGCCTACTGGGAAAAAAATTATTACATGTTTACATTCCCAATTACTACTATTAGTCAATTATGTGTGAAAAATTTCAATTTCATGGGTTTATATCCCCCAGGATGTGAAACATAATTAGAATTTGTAGATATAAATGAAGAGATATGAAAATGTTATCCTCAGTACTGTGTCAGTCACTTAATTAAAGACAATAAAAACATTAAATTAGGGTAATAAATATTCCCCCAAAAAATGAACATTGAGAAGTTCTGACTCTGATACACATTTCAATGATCAATTAATTCATCTTTTAATAATTAGATGTGAGGACATGATGGATAATTTTTAAACTTTTTCCTTACTTAGAAAAAGCACCTGGTTCCCTTCAGAGCACAAAATTTTAGGGGGAGGGTGCAGAGCCTCTATATATTTACTGCTCTCCCGGATACTGATTTGTGAACATGTAAAAATAAGGCAGCTAATGCACTCATGTAACCTCAACAACGAAAGCGACAAATGAATAATTTTATTTACTTTTTGCAATTTCTCATTGATGTGATGTAAATTTTCTGTTAGAAAGTCACACGATTCTGTATCTAAACTAGTATGACAGTTACACAAGACTGTTTTATCTTATTTTTGCAGATTTTTTTTCTAGGTGTACAACTGTGCAAGTATTGAACATCAGCTTCAAATGCAATGTGATCTAAAAGACAACATAATAATGGACAGATGTAAGTAATGATCAAATAGTTAAAGATATGGGAATGTATGAAATTGTTTGAAAATGTCCACATGAAAGTAGATAATTATCATTTTTACTGTTCTGCTAAATGAGGGTTTGGATGAGGGGGTCCTTATTGTCTTTATTCTTTAAATATTAGACCATTTTTCTCTCTATTCATTATTTATTTTGCCCATTTATATTATCTCTATCATGTCTTAATAATTTACTGTATTTTTGTGCCCTATTATTCAATATTCTGTATTATTTTTCCAATATTCTCTATTCTTTATTTGTTTGCCCCTTTATTCTGCACATGTTTGACCAATATTCTCTATTCTTTATTTGTTTGCCCCTTTATTCTGCACATGTTTGACTAATATTCTCTATTCTTTATTTGTTTCCCCTTTATTCTGCACATGGTTGTCCAATATTCTCTATTCTTTAAACCCTATCCATTCTTTCTCTCCATTACAGAGTTCTTGAAATCTTTTTTCTCCTGGTGGTCCTTGAGGGAAATACTGAAATTGTTCTTTGCAAATTTTGGTGGTCAAAAACTTTTAGACTTATATGTGATACAGAAACAAAACAACACAACACAATACAAATATAAACATTAACAAAAGACTTCTGTAAACATGAATAATTTAAATTATGATCTTTCAATAGTATTTTAAACAAAGTGTATAACTCTGTATGTCCCCGCAACTAAAAGTTGGCGGGCATATTGTTTTACCCCTGTCCCTCCGTCTGTCAGTCAGCTATAGGTCACAGTACAGCCTTCAACAATGAGCAAAGCTCATACTGCATAGTCATATATAAAAGGCCCCAAAATTACAAATGTAAAACAATTCAATACTAAAGGCCTTATAAAAATACAAAAACATTAACGAAAAACAAATATGTAACACAGCAACAAACGACAACCACTGATTGTCCAGGTTCCTAACTTGGGACAGGCACAGAATGTGGCAGGGTTAAACATGTTAGCGGGGTTCCAAGCCCTCATAAATTCATATATTTTAGATATTCTCCTCAAGAAAATTGGATATATCAGAAATGTTATTAACATCAACACTTTTAAATGTTGTACTTAACTTTACTTGATTTATGCTTATAAATGATGTGGTATGATTACCAATGAGACAACTCTCCACAAGAGACCAAATGACACAGAAATTAACAACTATAGGTCACCGTACGGCCTTTAACAATGAGCAAAGCCCATACCACATAGCTATAAAAAGCCCCGAAATGACAAATGTAAAACAAGAAAAATTAAGGCCTAATTTATGTACATGTACAAAAAATGAACGTAAAACAAATATGTAACACATCAACAAACGACAACCACTGAATTACAGGCTCATGTCTTGGAACAGGCACATACATTACATTGTACATTAATATTTTAATTTCCATATTGCTATAAAATCTATCATATGTTTTTTTCTAATGGCAGCTCTAATATAAATAAAAAAATTTCTTTGGAGTGCATTATCTTCTTTATTTCTAAACACCTGTTGTACATCTTTTTTAGCTCACCGTGGCCCTTATGCCATCACTTGGCGTCCGTCGTCTGTCGTCGTCGTCAGTCGTCGTAAACTATTTCAAAAATCTTCTCCTCTGAAACTACTGGGCCAAATACCTTCAAACTTTAAATAAATGTTCCTTAGGGTATCTAGTTTATAAATTGTTGTACATCTTTTTTAGCTCACCTGGGCCCGAAGGGCCCCATGTGAGCTTATGCCATCACTTGGCGTCCGTCGTCTGTCGTCGTCGTCTGTCGTTTTAAACTATTTCAAAAATCTTCTCCTCTGAAACTACTGGGCTAAATGCCTTCAAACTTTAACTAAATGTTCCTTAGGGTATCTTGTTTATAAATTGTATCCGAAGTTTGTATCCATTGACAAACATGGCCGCCATGGCTAAAAATAGAACATAAGGGTCAAATGCAGTTTTTATACGACCGCAAAAAAATTTTTGTGGTCGTATATTGGTATGACGTTGGCGTCGTCGTCGTCGTCGTCGTCGTCTGGCGTCGTCCGGCGTCTTCCGAAGACACATTGGTTTTCGCACTCTAACTTTAGTTTAAGTGAATGGATCTCTATGAAATTTTACCACAAGGTTCAATACCACAAAAGGAAGGTTGGGATTGATTTTGGGGGTTATGGTACCAACAGTAGAGGAATTAGGGGCCAAAAAGGGGCCAAAAATAAGCATTTTTGTAACTTCCAGACATAACTTGTGTGTTAGTGTATGGATCTCTCTGACATTGTACCACAGGGTTCCATATCACAAAAGAAATGCTGGGATTGATTTTGGGGGTAATCGTCTCAAAATTTTAGGAATTAGGGGCCAAAAAAGGGGCAAAAAACAAGCATTTTTCTAGTTTCATGACAATTACTTGTGTGTAAGTGTATGGATCTTTCTGAAATTGTACTACAAGGTTCCATATCACAAAGGGAAAGCTGGAATTGAGTTTGGGGGTAATTGCCGAAATGTTATGGAATTGGGGGCCAAAAAGGGGCCAAAAATAAGCATTTTTCTAGATTCCAGACAATAACTTGTGTTCAAGTGTATGGATCTCTCTGAAATTGTACTGCAAGGTACCATACCACAAAGGGAAGGCTGGGATTAATGATGGGGGTAATTGCCTCAATATTTTAGGAATTAGGGGCCAAAAAGGGGGAAAAAACAAGCATTTTTCTAGTTTCATGACAATTACTTGTGTGTAAGTGTATGGATCTTTCTGAAATTGTACTACAAGGTTCCATATCACAAAGGGAAAGCTGGGTTTGAGTTTGGGGGTAATTGCCCTAAACGTTTAGGAATTTGGGGCCCAAAAGGGGCCAAAAAACACATTTTTCTAGTTTCCAGACAATAACTTGTGTTCAAGTGTATGGATCTCTCTGAAATTGTACTGCAAGGTACCATACCACAAAGGGAAGGTTGGGATTGAGTTTGGGGGTGATGAATCATAAGGGGGTTCAAAAAATTTGGGGGGAGGGGATTTTTTTTTTTTTTTCCTTTTTTTTCTTTTTTTCCTTTTTTTTTCTTTTAAAATTTTCCATTTTAAATTGGTTATTTCTGATTTATATTTAAAAGCAAATAATAATGATATGGTAGGAGATACACACCAAACAGGATGTGTAAATTATTATATAATAAGTATTGTGCAATAGCAAGAAATTTTCAATTGCACAGTATTGCACAATAGCAAGAAATCTTCAGTTGCACAGTATTGCGCAATAGCAAGAAATCTTCAATTGCACAGTATTGCGCAATAGCAAGAAATATCCAATAGCACAATATTGCGCAAGAGCAAGAAATTGTCAATTGTACAGTATTGCGCAATAGCAAGAAATATTTAATTGCACAGTATTGTGCAAAAGAAGATACTTCGTATAAATTGCTTATTTCTTGACCAATTTCAATGGGGTTTTATTCTTGAATTCTTTGGGTTCTTTAATATGCTGAATCTAACCGTGTATTTAGTTTTTGGATTTTGGGCCCCGTTTTTAAATTGGTCCACATTGAGGTCCAAAGGGTCCAAAATTAAACTTTGTTTGATTTCATCAAAAATTGAATTATTAGGGTTCTTTGATATGCCAAATCTAACCGTGTATTTAGATTCTTAATTTTTGGTTCCGTTTTCAAATTGGTCTACATTAAGGTCCAAAGGGTCCAAAATTAAACTTAGTTTGATTTTAACAAAAATTGAATTCTTAGGGTTCTTTGATATGCTGAATCTAAACATGTATTTAGATTTTTGATTATGGGCCCAGTTTTCAAGTTGGTCCAAATCGGGGTCCAAAATTAAACTTTGTTTGATTTCAACAAAAATTGAATATATGGGGTTCTTTGATATGCTGAATCTAACCATGTATTTAGATTTTTGATTTTTGGGCCCCGTTATCAACTTTGTCCACATTGAGGTCAAAAGGGTCCAAAATTAAACTTTGTTTGATTTCATCAAAAATTGAATTCTTGGGGTTCTTTGATATGCTGAATCTAACCATGTCTTTAGATTTTGGATATTGGACCATAATAGGTGAATGTCCAATTTAAAATTTTTAAGTTCTTAGACCACATTTATTCTTTGTCAGAAACCTATGCTGTGTCAAATATTTAATCACAATCCAAATGCAAAGCTGTATCAAGCTTGAATGTTGTGTCCATACTTGCCCCAACTGTTCAGGGTTCGACCTCTGCGGTCGTATCAAGCTGCGCCCTGCGGAGCATTTTATTGGCTTATATCTCAAAAACTAAATCTTTTAGAGCAAATGTGACATGGGGTAAAATTGTTTAATTGGTCAAGATCTATCGGCCCTGAAATTATCAGACGAATCGAACAACCCATTGTTGGGTTGCTGCCACCGAATTTGTAGTTTTAACAAAATTTTGCAGTTTTTTTGTTATTATTTTGAATATTATTATAGATATATATAAACTGTAAGCAGCAATAATGTTCAGCAAAGTATGATCTACAAAAAAGTTAATATGACCATAAGTGTCAATTGACCCCTTACGGAGTTATTGCCCTTTAAAGACAATTTTACACAATTTGTTCATCAAGTTTGCTAACATTTAAAAATCTTCTCTCTGAAACTACTGGGCCAATTACCTTCAAACTTTAACTAAATGTTCCTTAGGGTATCTTGTTTATAAATTGTATCCGAAGCTTGTATCCATTGACAAACATGGCCGCCATGGCTAAAAATAGAACATAAGGGTCAAATGCAGTTTTTGGCTTATATCTCAAAAACTAAATATTTTAGAGCAAATGTGACATGGGGTAAAATTGTTTAATTGGTCAAGATCTATCGGCCCTGAAATTATCAGATTCGAACAACCCATTGTTGGGTTGCTGCCACCGAATTGGTAGTTTTAACAAAATTTTGCAGTTTTTTTGTTATTATTTTGAATATTATTATAGATATATATAAACTGTAAGCAGCAATAATGTTCAGCAAAGTATAAGATCTACAAAAAAGTTAATATGACCAAAATTGTCAATTGACCCCTTAAGGAGTTATTGCCCTTTAAAGACAATTTTACACAATTTGTTCATCAAGTTTGCTAACATTTGAAAATCTTCTCCTCTGAAATACAGGTGAGCGATTCAGGCTCTTCAGATCCTCTTGTTTTATTTATGCCTATTATCAGGAAAACTATGAAATTTAGAAACATTTTTTATGCCTCGCCGTAGCGGAGGGGGCATTAAGTTTTACCCTTGTCCGTCTGTCCCGTAGGTCCGATAATTGGTTTCTGTTCTCTAATTTTAGTTTGCCTATACCAAATGTTATGAAACTTATACACAATGCTTATTACCTTAAAACACAGACCAAGTATAAATTTGGGTAGTGTCACTTTTACCGTTCTAGAGTTATGTCCCTTTACAAATGGAAACATTGCTGAATTTTTTGTTTCCATTCTCTAACTTTAGTTTGCCTCAACCAAATGTTATGAAACCTATACACAATGCTTATTACCACAAAACTTTGATCAAGTTTGAATTTGGGTAGCGTCACTTTTACTGTTCTAGAGTTATCCCCCTCTACAAATGGAAATATTGCTGAATTTTTCATTTCCTTTCTCACTTTAGTTTGCCTCAACCAAATGTTATGAAACCTATACACACTGCTTATTACCACAAAACTCAGATCAAGTTTGAATTTGGGTAGCGTCACTTTTACCGTTCTAGAGTTATCCCCCTCTACAAATGGAAATATTGCTGAATTTTTCATTTCCTTTCTCACTTTAGTTTGCCTCAACCAAATGTTATGAAACCTATACACAATGCTTATTACCACAAAACTCAGATCAAGTTTGAATTTGGGTAGCGTCACTTTTACCATTCTAGAGTTATCTTCCTCTACAAATGGAAATATTGCTGAATTTTTCATTTTCTTTCTCACTTTAGTTTGCCTCAACCAAATGTTATGAAACTTATGCACAATGCATATTACCACAAAACGCAGATCAAGTACAAATTTGGATAGCGTCACTTTAACAGATCTTGAGTAAGGTAAGAAAAGGCATGGCAAGATCTATTAAAAGTCAAATTCTGCCGATATAGTTAGTAGACTGTCACTCTTAACATGCTTAATAGGAGTGATTGCCCTTCAGTGAGGATTTTTGTTTACCCTCTTTTGTGTTTTGAGCAAGAACTAAAGAATAAAGAGAGAAACTAAACAGACTAATTATAAAAGACCTGTAATAAAAGATCAACAAAATAGAGATTTTTGTCATGAAGTATATTCTCGTCTACAATGTTAGAGAGTGTCCTTTGTTTGATATGCACATAAACCAAGGTGAGCGACACAGGCTCTTTAGAGCCTCTTGTTTAGCTCACCTGGCCCAAAGGGCCGTCGTCGACCATTAACTTTTACAAAAATCTTCTCCTCTGAAACTACTGGGCCAAATTTAACCAAACTTGGCCACAGTCAATCATCATTGGGGTATCTAGTTAAAAAAATGTGTCTGATGAATATTAAGAAAGAACAAAATGAAAATGATATTTTGATAAACATGTTGTTGTCGTGGTATTGTGCTCTCTTAAACCATCAGATTATTACTGTACGTACTGCAATAAAAAAAAACATGAATCAATATCAGGGAACTTGAAGTAATTGAAAACTAGTTCAAATCCCTAATTGCACTTTAGCTTTTCATTGCCTCAACCAAGTGTTATGAAACTTATACACAAAACAAGGAATTATCTGAATCTGGAATAATTTTGAATTCTGGAAAATTGATAAGAAATGTATGATGAAAACATACCCAACTAAATAGGGATAGCCATGCAAGGGTAATTTTACTTTCACTGTTCTTTCAGTATGAACTAACTAACCCCCCTTAGCCATGCGCGCATGGCTAACCCTATTTAGTTGGGTTAGTTTTCATCATAAATTTCGTTTCAATTTTCCAGAATTCAAAATAATTCCAGATTCAAATAATTCCTTGTTCCAATGCTTATTAACATCAAACACTGATCAAGTCACTTTCATCATTCTCATATTATGTTACTTTATTAATAGAAAAAAAGGATAAATTAGAGATATATTTACAAGCAGGGACATCCGTGTCCCATGGACACATTCTTGTTTTATTTATTACATATTTTAGTGTATTAAAGTAATTATACTGCTTCCACCTTTCAAAATTCTAACAAAGCTCTATCTCTTTAATGGATAAATAAATGATACTAGTCGAGAACTCAACAGATAATTTTTTTTCAGGTTCTCTGGTCGTTAGTACTTGTTTGCCACACACATGAAGATATTGATCCTGCTTTCAGCTAAATATCAGAAAAATTAAGAACAAAGGAAAGGATGCTGAAACTGTACAGTCACCAGTCAGGATTGTTTCAGAAGTGAAATTATAATACAATATATGTTACTGGTTAATTCCTATGATTTGTAATTTTAAACAACACACATAGACTTTGCATTATATTGTTTTACAAGAGAGACACCAAAAGATGCAGTCAACATTTATTATTTTTATCAAAATACACCCAGGACAAATCATGGGTACACTTAGCTTGAAATATTGTGCTTTCATACCAAAATTGCCTGGACGTAAAAGAAATAAAGAACCAAAATTCATGTCAGGAATCATGCAGGGGATAAGATGAAAGAATAAAGAATAAGGTACTGTCATATTCAGTCTTAATAAGAGTCCTGCTGCTTTATATGTATATGCATTTTGTTATGCCCCGTCGTAGCGGAGGAGGGCATTAAGTTTTATCCTTGTATGTTTGTACATAGATATAAGAAGATGTGGTATGAGTTCCAATGAGACTACTCTCCATCCAAGTCACAATTTGTAAAAGAAAAACCATTATAGGTCAAAGAACAGTCTTCAACACAGAGCCTTGGATCACACCGAACAGTAAGCTATTATTAATTTAAGGACCCCAAAAATGATTAGTGTGAAACCAGCTGTCAAATGGGAAAACCAACGGTCTAATCTATATAAAAAAAGAGAAACAAGAAACACTTATAGTGCGTGATTTTCTCGCTGTGTTGAAGACCTTATTCTTTGAAAAAGCGACGGAGGTATCATGTGCTCATGGCACAGCTGTTTATTCATTTTAGTTCACTATAAACTTAAGTTTGCTTAACCAAATGTTCTGAAACTTATACACAATGCTTATTACCACAAAACTCAGATCAAGTACTCATTTGGGTACTGTGTGTCACTTTTACCATTCTTGATTTATGACCCTTTAAAATGTTATATGCAAGCGGGGGCATAATCTGTGTCCCATGGACGCATTCCCCATTTATTTATTCACAGAATTTTGAAAGGAATAAATAATCCATGATGTTCACATAGATAAAACATATTGTTTCAAGAATTTTTACCTGTTTATTACAGATGAAACGCAACTCAACAACACAAAAAATAACTAAACAGCATAGATCTATGCAGTTTTGACCTATATTTATATAAAAATAAGGAGAAGGTGCATGATTGCCAATGAGACAACTATCCACCAAAGTTTGAATAAAGTGGATATAAGCAGTTATAGGTAACTGTACAGCCTTCTACAATGAGAAAAACTCATACTGTATAGTCCGCTATAAAAGGCCCTGATCAGAAAAAATATGAACAAAATCATTTGAGAAAACTAACGGCCTAATTTATATAATTTATTATAACAAAACAAGTAGCGAAAATCAAATATATAACATACATAAACCAACAACTTCCATGGAAATACTGGCTCCTGACTTGGGACAGGCACATAAAGAATGTGGCAGGTTAAACAAGTTTTTGGTTGCTCATCCCTCCCCTAACCTGGGACAGTGGTGTTACAGCACAACATAAGAACAAACTATAAAAATCAGTTGAAAAGGTTTCATCATATTTTTATAGGTCAACTGTCTTGAAATGATCAACAAGTGATTGTAGAATTTAATAAACATCTCAATTGTCAATTGAATAACCAAAAACACACAAACATCTACTGTCAACACCAAATTCCCTGAAACAAAAGCTTTAAGGGGGCTCGCGGGTATATCTCAATATTTGTTTTTAAATATAGGATTTCACTATTTTTTTCTAGAAATACACTTTATCCTATACTTAATAGACAAATAAAATAATAGTATAGGGTCACCGTTCATTTGACCTCACAATCTGCCTTCGAAAGAAGCATGCATTTTTGTTAAGTTACTTTTTTTCTGTTGAACTAATAGGAGAAAAAAAGGGAATGTCGAAATAAAAAAAGAACTAAATTACAGAAATTGCTTAAATTTTAGAATAGTTTAGTACAGCTTATTTGAGTACAGCTTATTTGAAAAAAATAGTAAAAATATAGGTCACCGATGTGTTAAAAAAGATATTCAATTTTAATGCAAAAAAATTGCATTTTTTCATCAAAGGGAGATAATTTGGAGCTTTTTAAATGATATAAACAATTCAAAAGTCATCTGGGGCCAAAATGAATTGATTTTTTTGGTTGATTTTTGTACCATATCATAAAGTAACAACTAATAGTGTAAGAAATAAAAATTTGTAATGAAAAAAAAAAAGTTTAAATTTTTGCTGAATTTTTATACCCTCAAGCCTCCTTAAGATACAACTTTAGGTAACAGGAACGGTCTTGACTTTGGAAAGCCACATGAAAACTCAATACTGCTCCCCTTTTAAATCTTGATCAGTATTTGTTAAATGAAAAAAAGTAACATAAAAGAATGCAGGTTGCCAGGAACATTCAATTGGAGAAAGGGAAAAGAACTCAATTCTACACTAAATAATTTTGAAAACTATTATTGGCTATACTATCTTTATTGATAAAAAAATGTCAAAAAAGTTATGTACATTATGATCATGTTGATTGTGTGAAAAGTCACACAAGGTAATCAAAATGGTCAGAGGGGGAAAAGAAGTTTTGTTATAAATGTCAAATGTGATAGTCTCAACCTATCAACATGATCAAAATTGTTGATTTCACCATTAATATTTACATTTAGCATGTTCAGCGGAATAGCACGTTTTTGTTATATTTTACTAAATGTTATTTTACTTTTCTCTTATAGGCAGGAGTGAAAGGAAGAGAAAAAGTCATCAGTAAAGAAACAGATCAATTTACATTAACATGTAATAATTCCATCTGAATATAACAAGCATTGCACATGTTATGAAGATTTATTCACATGTTACTATGATTTGTAGTTATATTTTATTGTATGTATTTGTAATATTATATAGAACATGTATTTTATTTTAGAACAGTATTTTTCTTTTTCGTCGAGCCTGCGATTTTGTCGCAGAAAGCTCGACATAGGGATAGTGATCCGGCGGCGGCGGTGGCATCGTTAGCTAACTTCTTAAAAGCTTTATATTTTAGAAGGTGGAAGACCTGGATGCTTCATACTTTGTATACAGATGCCTCATGTTACGATGTTTCCGTGTGTCACATTTCCATTGACCTTGACCTCATTTTCATGGTTCAGTGACTACTTGAAAAAAAAGTTAAGATTTTTTGTAATGTTAATTTCTCTCTTATTAAGAGTAATAGGTTAACTATATTTGGTATGTGCGTACCTTGCAAGGTCCTCATGACTGTCAGACAGTTTTCACTTGACCTCGACCTCATTTCTTGGATCAGTGAACAAGGTTAAGGTTTGGTGGTCAAGTCCATATCATAGATACTATAAGCAATAGGTCTTGTATATTTGGTGTACAGAAGGACTTTAAGGTGTACATGTCCAACTGGCAGGTGTCATCTGGCCTTGACCTCATTTTCATGGTTCAGTGGTAAGTTAAGTTTTTGTTTTGGTCTGTTTTTCTTATACTGTTTGCAATAAGTCTACTATATTTGGTGTATGGAATGATTGTAAGGTGTACATGTCTAGCTGGCAGGTGTCATCTGACCTTGACTTCATTTTCATGGTTCAGGGGTCAAAGTTAAGTTTTTGAGTTGTGGTCTTTTTTTCTAATACTATATGCAATAAAGGTCAACTATATTTGGTGTATGGAAATATTTTATGATGTACATGTCAGTCTCGCAAGTTTTATTTGACCTTGACCTCATTTTCACAGTTCATTGCTCAGTGTTAAGTTTTTGTGTTTTGGTCTGTTTTTCTTAAACTATAAGCAATAGGTCAACTATATTTGTTGTATGGAAGAATTGTAAGCTGTATATGTCTGCCTGGCATGGTGCATCTGACCTTGACCTCGTTTTCATGGTTCATTGGTCAATGTTTAGTTTTCTTGGTTAAGTCTATTTCTTAGAAACTATAAGCAATAGGTCAACTATATTTAGTGTATTGAATGATTGTAAGGTGTACATGTATTTCTTGTTTGGTTTATATGACCTTGACCTCATTTTCTTGGTTAATGTTAAGTTTATGTGATAGTGGTAGTAAAGCTTTATATTTAGGACTATCAACATAACATCAATAATTAGTAAAGAAGGCAAGACATTTCAGCGTGTGCACTCTTGTTATATTTTGTTGTGGAGAACATCAAAGAAATTTAGAAAAATATAATTAAAGATAAAGTTTCTTCCATGTTTTCTGTGACAAAAACAAAATTGTGCAAATTAGGAAAATGAAATGAGGCTACATTATTGAATATTTTTGAGTTTGAGTTTTTTCTTTTTATTCCTATTTTAAATTTTCATTGGCATTTGAAGTAATGAGTTAAAACTAGTTTTTATCAATCATTTTGTTTTCAAGATGTACAAACAGTACAGTAGGTTAAGGTTTTGTGTACAATAGTTTACTATGATGTTATGGTCAAATAAACTTGAAACTTTGTACATTCAAGTGTTCATTATGAAGTCATTGATTTTTTAAGTAATTACAAATAAGTTACTGAATATGGAAATCTGATTGTGGAAGCAGGGTATAATGTGTTATGGAAACACATCTCAATCCCATAGAGCACCGCCCTCCTCACCAGCCTCTCAGTAATGGAATATTGACTTTGAAAATTTCCTTAGTTTACACTGTAAGATTTGTAAGAAGTTCAGTTTCAGGAGAACCACTAAAAGTAGGTCAGGGATATTTTATATGCAGTTGAATAAGCTTTTGGACAATACATGTGCTTGGGGATTTTTTTATCCTGAACCCTAAATCATGGTTTTATAACTTAGAATCTTTTGTAGTTTATATGGAAAGTTTATGCTTAGGCCAGTTTAAAATCGACCACTTATAAGAGGAGGATTTAGAGGAGGCCTAAGCACCCCTTTTTGTGGGACAAATTTGGTTGATATTATATTTAGGAAATTTCTAAAGCATGACAAAAGAGATGCAGTAGAGAGCAACCTTAATATTTCTTAGAAAATACTTTTTTCGGACCTGTAATGAAAAGTGTGGTTATAAACAAAATACATATTTTTTTCAGTTAGAAACATATTTTTTATGAATCAAAATTTTAACAAATGTTGGAAACAAATTTACATAAAAACTTTCTAAATGTATCAAAATTCTGTGTTGTAATATCTTATAGATTTAGTTTTTTCTGGATTTTTCCCAATAATTTTAAGAAATCTGTAGCATATAATTTTAAAAATTTGCTTGCAGATTTTATTTCGGGATTTTTCCCGAAATGGGTAAAAAAAATCTATGTAACAAGTGTGTGCCTGATAATAGATTTATATTTTCGGGATTTTTCCCGAAATGTGAAAAGAAATTATAAGTCATGAGTTCTAGCATATACGTTCTGTTTTCGGGATAAATCCCAAAATATTCGAAGACATCTGTGTTATACATTTTCAACTTAGTTTATTTTTGTCGGGATTTTTCCCGAAATGTGTTTCAAATCTGTTTGTCAACATTCTTTGCCAACATATATGTTTTAAATAATAATGTTGAAAATGATTTTGGGACATTTCCCGAAAAGTTGTCACATACATCTTTACCACAAATATTTAAAAACTTTCATATATTTTGGGAAATTTCCCGAACATTAAATGTAAATTTTATCAATTATAAGAATAAAAACATGGAATATTGTAAAATATGTGTGTTTCTTTATGAAATCTGCATTCAATTTATGGTAAACATTGAAAAAGATTATTGAAAGGAATAAAATGGATTTTACTCTTTTAAAATAGATTCAGTTATGTGTTTAATTCCGATGCAAAGACCCTATAAGTGAATCAATATTAAAGCCAAAATATGCAATCTTTAATGACGTGACAACAGTATTTTAACTATATCCCTATAGTTACAAATTCAATGCTGATTTTAGTCATGAATTGTAACTCATAACAATACAAAAACAGGTCCGCAATAAGTGGTGCACAGTTAGTCCCCATTGGAATTCCGATAACTTGATGATATACGGAATCTCCAAAGCGAACAAAAATGTTATCAAGTAAAAATTCAAGCGCATATATATCGTATCAAAGCATGTCCAATTGACATAGTTCTTTTGTTTGTTGCTACTAAAAAATGACCTAAAAGAGTTTGAACATATGTATTCGCATTCCGACTTTTTAAATGCCCATTTAATTTTAGGTGTGTGAATTTTTTCTTAATAAGAATATGAGGCAAAGTGGTATATAGGGTAAAAAAATCAAAACTTTGAACAGATTCAAAATCACCAATATATGCATGCAATTTATCAAGTACTTCCAACGAGTTTTTGACACTGCAAAAGTAATTAATTCCACTATTTTCAAAGGCCTTATATGAACAATTTATAATTATCATGTTTTTGATTGTACCAAGTGTACTAGTAAGTAGAATAGACAATTTAGTAGTAGAACAATGACTTGAAGACGAAATAAATCTATATTTGTAAGGTGATTTGTGTAGCTTCGGAAGCCAGTACTTAGTTGGGACTTTCATTGTATTAGGTTCTGCTTGTAAAGAAGTACAGTAGCTAATAGTTTATGTTTGTTACAGATATCGTTTTCTGAAAATGAAGTCAGTTGAAATGTTGGTGAATTGGTGATTTCCTTTTGCAGAACCTCAATGTAAAATTTACGTCAAAATATAATGATATTATTAGCAGCTTAATCAGCCGGGACAAAAACAAATTCCTTGGCTATTTCTTTTAGTTTATGTTTGATACGAGAAATAGGATTTTTATGGTTGTTGTTAAGAGTAAAATGTTATTTAAAATGTTGTATACGTATATCAACTATCTTCATTACTGAATTGAAAAAAGAGTCCAAAGATTTTTTGTCAGCTTTTTTCCCGTATTATCCATTTCAAACAGTAAGCACGAAGTGAGTCGTGGATGATATTACGACACTCATTCCAATTAATATTTGACGGGGAACGATATTTAGGTCCTTTACTGAGGAATGATTTTAACTCTCGGTCGCGAACGATGTTAAGGTCTCCTGTTTTAACATGGGAAATGGGGCCATAAGTGTATTCGGAATTACTACAATTACATGACGTAGGTGTATTTTCACTGATATTTACATCTTTACAGACTTGGCTATAATTAATCACAAATTTCCGGGTAGATTTGTTGTAAATCTAACAAATAAGAGGGAGTTCAGTATTATCAAAATATCCAGGAATTTGTTCTTTAACAGAATGGTCGTTAGAAATACCGGAAATATTTACAAAATCAAAACCCATATTGACATACTTTATTTTGATAAAATGTTTTTTATGATCTTCAGGACGATCAATTTTGGGAAACAGTTTAGAATAACAATATGCCATTATAATTTGAACGATTTCATACTTACATTTGTGGGACTGCAATATGAAATTGTGTTGCAATCCTTTAAGAAAAAATTTAATTTATTCATAGGTAAAGAACAGAGCTTGGTTAATAGATAATATCTGCCGTTGTTTTTTGAAATAGAAATTAGGTCCGAAATATTTGTATGGTTGGTCCAAAATTTTCTTTGATTGCGATTTTTTCTACGCCCATGAGAACGGCTTTTACGAACAGTTTTAGAAACTAAATCCAAAATGTTAACAGAATCGGTTCTTGATATATTATCAATCCCCATGATATTATCATTAAGACCGAGTGAATAGACTGTCTGTAATTTTTTAATCCAATTTAATTTATTTATTTTCCGTGATCGTACAAACTTTGAATGAGATTCACCAGGCTGCTTATTTACTACTTCTAAAGGCTGAACTGTTAAATATTTAATAGGATGATTGTGCTTTCTAAGATGTTGATAAATGATACTTTTGAATTTATTGGGTCTTTTAAAACGATACAGGTGTTCTTGCGTGCGTTTAGATAAATATCGTCCAGTTTCACCTACGTACTGAATACCGCATCCCGGTTTGTTTCATGTGAGTAAATAAATAATACTGTTTGTTTTTCAAGTTATATCAGTTTCAAAATTTAAAGAAAATGTGCGACCATTAAACGTAGACCTTACCGTATTGTTGGTGAAAAGACGGGGACATGTAAGTCATTTTTTGGCATGACACTTATCGATAGAAGGGTAACCACGATTTTTATTGTTAAAAATGTTAGCGATGGTAGCATTTTTAGATAAGCGATTTTGAAGATTGAGACGTGTAGATAGATACCCTTTGGACGAGTTAAGTATTTAATATTTTTCTATTTCTAAGCTTCATATTTGTATTTTGTTATGTGGATTTTATTAGAAAGGAGCAAAGACTGGCGTCCAGAATATGAACAAGCACACAATAAATTGAATTATGTGGATATGATCAAACTGTTCGGCTAAAGACGTCAACCGCTATCCGTCATAAATACCCGAAAAATAAAACAAAAGATAGGGTATATCAGGGTAGCGACTGACGTCTGACTAAATAGAAGAATGGGTCTTATGGGTAATTGTGTTTTTACTGATGTTTCGTTGCTGTCTTGTGGACAAATACCTGAAATCTTCGTGTGATCATCACACGAAGAAGACTGTCAACGCTGAAAAGTAAGCTATAAAGGGGGCCAAAAATGACTAGTGTAAATCAATTCAAACGAAAAAAACAATAGCCTAATTTATATACAAAACGATAGGAAAAAGCATCCAATAAATGAGAGAAATAAAATTGGTTTAGATCAAACGCTGTAATTTTCACAAAACCTATCATTTTAGTTCACGTCCTTGTCGCACATAAACATGGACAGCATCATAAATGATTTTATTAAGGTTGGCAAATATCCGAGTCCGTTAAAAGTATAAAATAAATCCAATATCTACATAAGAAAAAAATGAACTTTGCAAAAATGATAATTGATATAAGTCTTGTAGATGTGGATGTAAGCAATTATAGGCAACCGTAAGGCCTTCCACAATGAGAAAAACCCATACCGTAAAGTCGGCTATAAATGGCCCCGATTGGTGATTATACGTGTTTGTTTCTTAGAGACAAATTAATAGATACATACCCTTCCTCGATTTAAATTACTTTTTAATCATAAAAGAAGATACAATATCATAACATCAATTTTGTAAAAAGCTGGGAAATTTTAGTGACCCCAATAGATATTTGACACACTCTAAGCCTTCCCCCTTTTTACGAACCCAAAATACAAGGATCCTTTATTTTTTTAACTATCTGAATGAAAGTTTGTCTTATGGGTAATTGTGTTTTTACTGATGTTTCATTGCTGTCTTGTGGACGAATACCTGAAATCTTCGTGTGATCATCAGTCATATTAAAAGCTTTATTTTGGGTTAATCAAACACTCGTTTCTTCTCATAGAAACAACTCTTCGTTAATCTGAGCATGGAACGAATACTTTATATCAAGGACAATAAATGTGGATACAAAAAATGAAAAACTAAGCAAAATTGTTAATCCCGCAATGCATAAAAAAATGTGTTGTACTTCAGTAAATAACACGTGTTCTCGGTTGATCGTAAACACATACAGTAGTAGTCCATCGTGCATTGTTACTCATTTAGTGGATTGGTCAAAAACCCAGGTAAAGAAAAAATTGTGTCATACGTAAATAAACAACTACATGTAGGAGGACAAGAAGTATGCTAATTTATTCATATCCATATAAGGTAGTGTTCCCGACCTGTAAAATGCAGCATGAAAGTTTGTACATCTTATATTCTCCGATAAATGTATTTGATGGAGAATACTCAGTATGACAGACAGACGGACGCCGACTAGACTAGCAATAATATATTTACAGACGGATGCGTGATCTTTTTATTTTATTTTTTATTCAGTTTTTTTTTTTATTCTTAATGAATAAGTATTTTATTTTTTATGCAGTTTTTATCATTCTTAATGAATAAGTAATCCAAGGAAAGATGTGCGGGAATATTGATCTTTACTATGTATATAATTTTCAGTATTCCAACCAGTTGTTCTAATCCAGGCATGTTCATCTTTATTCATTCTACAGAAAGCTGTCATTGACGCAGACGAATAAGAACTAGAATCCACTTCTTTCTCCCCAGTAGAGCTTATAACTTTCTCTTCGACTACTAACTCCATTATTATGTAAGCAGCATTCACTGTGCAAACCGTCCATGAAAACATATAAATCCCATCTCTTAGAGCTACAAAGATTCCATCGTTGTTGTTGTAATGGCCTCCTTCGTTGATAATTATGGTCTCAAATACAACTGTAGAATATTTATTCAAGCTAAATTCGCTCTGTTTTATAATTGCATAAAACAATACAGGTTGTTTTCCTCCTGAAATATAAATGAGCTTGACTAAAAAAAAGTAAATGTTCAGTGAAATACAGTTCTTAGAAATTGTCTCTCTTTTCCAGGTGAATTTTCCAGTAAATTTTGACATTCTTCAATTTTCATATGGGAATAGATGTGTATATGCTGGGCAAATTTTCATTGACTGTTTATTGTGTTTGAAGTTTTTTTTATATGAAGTTTAACGACAAACATGTCATGCATGTTTAGAACGTGAACAAATCAACGTTAAATACAAGTTAAGTTTTGCAAGGTACTTGTCGACCGGGATGAAGGGCGGTAAATTTGGACTGCCTTTGGAAAATTTAGGATGTGTTGGATATGGGCAAATTTCGTCTTGAAACAGGCCACCTACAGCCATTCAGAGAGTGTGGCAATCTCTTCAAGAGGCATCGGATTAAACGTCCCTATTCGGACAGGACGTGGCTGCATCCAGCACACCCAAACATATGCAACAGGAAAGCCTTCCCTTTGAACCCCCTCGGTTGACGAAATAAGCAAAACAATACATGAATGTGGCTCAAAGAAAGTCTTGCCAGGCACCACTTTAGCTAGGGGGTTACTGCCTGATCACGTCCCGGTGACCATATGTCTATATCTAGTCATCCCTTGGGGTTGGCACTTGGCCTTCATCAGATAAGATAATCTTTTAAATATAGTGAGTGATTACCTTTGAATACAATATCTTGTAAATTTTCGTTGTAAAAAGGAAACCATCTTAAACTTACTATGGTCGTAAGCATCAATGGAAAAAGAAGTACAATTAGTTTGTAACAAATACTGTTAAACAATCTGAGCTATCTACATTGAATTAAGGTTTTTGGTTGTCTATCATATTATTTTTTCTTCATTTATTATTTGTTCATAAAACTCGTTTGCATTGTATGGGTTTTGCTTATCACTGAAAGTCTACGGTCACGGGTGACATATAGTTGCTTACATCCACGTTTTTTGGTGGATAGTTGTTATATCGACAGTCAGAACACATCTCGTTACTGTTGTACAATATGCACACAAAATATAAACATTATAGAAATAAGAAGATGTGGTATCATGGACAATAAAACAATCCTCTACCAGAGACGAAATGACTTGGAAGGTAACAACTATAGGTCATCGCACGGCCTTCAACAATGAGGAAAACCCATACCGTTTTTTTGTGCTTTTTATCGATCTTAGGAGTTAAGCCCTTTTCAACTGATTTGTGTAGTTTGTTCTTATGTTGTACTGTTACACATCTGTCCATGTACTATGAAAATAGACGGCAAAACACTGATTTTCCATTGGACGAGAAAGGTTGAGTATGTTCTAACAACAGGGAACCAACCATCGCCCTTTTTGTCGTAAACTTTTGTGTAGAGTTTCCCGGGTAAAACTAAGATATCTAAATCTTAGAATTGTGTATGTAATCTATTTTTTTACGGAACATGTTAATATTGAAGGTACTTTGATATAATATTGCAAATATTTACATGTTATTATAAAATTTTGGATCGTTTTTACAAAAATCATTTGACTAAAATTGATTGACATTTATCTTGAAATGTTCGAGACCAAAAAGTATTCCAAAAATTTTTGGGTGTGAAATTGGTTCTCCTATGTCTAAAAGTACTTGCTTTCATTTTCTAACATAGAAATTTTGGCCTCCAATAATTCCAGTCGACTATTCATTGAATCTTCATCTATGGATGTTATATTTTGTATTGACTTTGTTATTGTTTGTCCAGTTATATATAAGACAATAGATAACAGAATGAAATAATTCATTTTCAGTTATCCGGTGTACTGTTTAAGCTTTTGATTTGTTCTGTGTGTACTCGGTTTGATTCTTGTATTCCGATGTACTGTGTGAGTCTGTGATTTGTTTTGTGTGTGTCCAGTGTACTGCATAAGCCTGTGATTTGTTTCTTGTATTCCGATGAACGATGTGACCCTGTGATTTGATTTTATGAGTTCGGTTTACTGTATGATCCTGTGATTTGTTTTTATGCGTCCGGTGTACTGTATGATCCTGTGATTTGTTTTTATGCGTCCGGTGTACTGTTTGATCCTGTGAATTGTTTCCTGTGTCATGAGTGTTCTGTTTGGGCGTCATTTGTTTCTTGTGTAACCAGTGAACTGCATGAATTAATCCTGTGATTTGTTTCATGTATGTCGAGTGTACTGTATATGTATGTTATTTGTTTCTTGTGTGTTGAGTGATTTGTTTCGTTTGTGTACACGTTACTGTATGAGCCTGTTATCTGTTTGTGTATGTCGAGTGTTCTGTGAGAGTCTATGATATGTTTCCTTCTTGTATGTCGAGTGTACTGTATGAATCTGTGATTTGTTTCTTTTGTGTATAGTGAACTGTAAAAGCCGGTGATTTTTTTTTGAATGCTCGGTGTACTGTGTGAACCTGTGATTTGTATTATGTGTGTCTATTGTACTATCATATTAGTCTTTGATTTATTTCTCATGTATCTAGAGTACTGCATGAGCTTTTGGTTTGTAACTTGTGTGTTGAGTGTACCTTATGAGCCGATGATTTGTTTCATGTGTGTTGAGTGTTCTGCGTGAATCTGTGATTTGTTTATGATGTGTCCAGCGTACTTTATGATCTTATAATCTGTTTCTTGTATTATAGGCCTGCGATTTGTTTCTTGTGTGTTGAGCATACTGTATTAGTCTGTGATTTGTTTCTTGTGTGTCAAGTGTACGGTTTAAGCCAGTAATTTGTGTTTTGTGTGCCGAGAGTATTATATGACCATATTATTTGTTTATTTTGTATCTATTGTACTTCATGAACATGTAATGTGTGTCTTGTGTTTTCAGTGTACTGTGTGAACCTGTACTTTGTTACTTGTGCCGGCTGTACTTTCTAACGAAATGTTGTGTATGTCTTATCTCGAATTAATTATGATATGCGTATGAGTAACTATAGGTTAAAAGATTCAGATGCAAAGTTTACCCTTAACTAAATTTAACCCCTTCATATGGAACGCCATGACTGTCTTCTGATTTTGATTGTTAAATATGTTCGGTGCTTTTTGCATTACGGTCAGTAGTATTTATATTTTGTTCAGTAGTTTTCATATAATGTTCAGTAGTTTTGACATTATGTTCAGTAGTTTTGACATTATGTTCGGTGCTTTGGTTATTATGTTCAGTAGTTTCATTATTATATGCAGTGGTATTTAAATCATGTTCGGTACTTTTGACGTTATATTCAGTGCATTTTTCATTATGTTCAGTACTTTCGACATTATGTTCAGTAGATTCAATATTATTTGCAGTACATTATGTATTACTTTCAGTGGTCCCGGTTTCTTTATATTCGGTGGATTATTCATTATGTTCAGTAAAAGCATCAGTATTATACTCGGTTCAATGAACTATATGTTCAGTAGTTGTATCATTATGATGATGCAGTGAAAGTCGGGAAATCAATAACGGAAATTTTCAGAAAAAAACGAACGCGGATATTTTGGACGGACGTTTTCTTCATGGACACTTTAACGGGATCAGGAATGAAAATGGAAGAAATGGAAGCAGTATTAAATTGGTTTGGTTTACGTTGACACGTTGGCAATTTTCACAAGGAAAAAAAATACTCCTGACTTAATTTGTAAGATGTCATGATTGATTGATTGTTGTTGTTTTCTGAACGTACAGCGGCAAATATTCACACATATTTATGACGGAGAAAAGAATTTTTTTAAACAAGAAATAAGAAGTTGCATGCGTTGTCGTTGATACAACATGACCATAGAGAGAAAGACAAACAGCAAAAAATAAAATATAAAAACATATTCTATAGCTTTTGTATTCCTAGTAGGTAACCCTTTTTGTTGGTTGGTTGTAGCATATTAATCTCATGCACCGACTTTTAAGAGACCACGAAAAATCTTCTTGCAGATACTCCTATAGTATTTTGCATCCCACCCCGCTAATAGGCGCTTAAATATTCAGATATTTATTTGAAATAACCCAAGATAAATGAGGTTGTGGATGAGGTTTACAGAATAGAGAAAGTTGATTTGTAAATTTGACCATATCAATGAAATTCATGGTAACTATGGCATGATATTGGTTGCAAAAATTTGAAATTTTTCATTTAAATGCAATATTTCTTATTTAATTGGTATATTTCTTCATTTAAATGCAATATTTTTTTATTTGAATGGTATATTTTTTCATTAAAATGCAAAATTTTTTATTCAAATGGTATAATTTTTCATTCAAATGGTATAATTTTTCATTCAAATGGTATAATTTTCATTTAAATGCAATAGTTTTTATTCAATTGGTATAAAATGTCATTTGAATGCAATATTTTTTATTCAATTGGTATAGTAGTTTTTTATTGATATGCAATAATTGCATTATGGGAAATTCTTTGACGTCATAAGGTCAAATTTGCAACAACGTTTGTGATTGGTCGGAAATTGTGTGGATTTCTCCCCTTTCTTTCTAAACATGGGTGACCAAGAATTAAAAAAACGCGTCAGAATATCGCCCCTCTAACTAAATCTAACGTCGTGCGAGTCCTGCACTGGCTGTTAAAATCTTGTGGTCATAACTAGTATTTCTATTGCAAAATTTCGATTGTCAAAACGTTCGGTCCACTTTTCAAAAACCGTTTCATTGTATATGGATTTATATGCAAGTATATCGGGTTTTTTTAAATATATTAGACACCGTTGGTTTTCCCGTTTGAATGGTTTTACACTACTAATTTTTTGGGGGCCCTTTATAGCTTGCTGTTCGGTTTGAGCCAAGGCTCCGTGTTGAAGACCGTACGTTGACCTTTAATGGTTTACATTTACAAATTATGACTTGGATGGAGAGTTGTCTCATCGGCACTCATATCACATCTTCTTATATCTATATACAACGTAAACCAGACGTTTCTCAGACTGTTTTCTTTTTTTAATAAATCCTTTGCCGCGCGTTGTGTACTGATTGATAACTCAGTCTGGGAGAACAAGATTTATTTCAGTACC